GACTCGACGCAGAAGTATAAAGTGGCCTTTAGAGTTTGGAAGACAAAAGCAGAAATAATTTTTTTACAAGTAAAAACAAAATATTGAATTGAATTGTAACAAAACAAAAGAAAACATTTTCACATTGACCCCAATAAAGTTACTGTTTTTTTTGTCACGCTTTTTTTGAGTCTATTCTATCTTTCGCTCTGATGGTATGGTTTAGAAGTCTGTCACTTAAAAACTAGACTGAACCAGATTATTAGGTGGTCTAGTAGGTGGATTGGTGAATCACAGCTCAGTATTGAATCCCTGTATAGTAGGCAGCTTTAACGGATTGCCCAGAACATTAGTAGCTGTGGCTCTCATCCTCTGTCTGAGGAGTTAAACTTACTCCCTTCGGGTTAAAGGTTTCAGATTCTTTTTAGTAGGACAAAACGTTACAGCAATAGCTTTATCCCATGATCTATTGTCGCTCTGAGAACATTTTATTTTTATAAAGTACCCTTTTATATGTATTTTATATCCACATTCTTTTATTATATATGTGTATATTTGGGTATGTATATTTCTGATTTAATTGTTTGTATCAAACACCAAACTTTGCTGCAAAAAGGATCTACCTACGGGTACCAATAAAGTCAACTGAACAGGGGCGGCATGGTGGCTCATTGGTAGGCGTTGTCAACTCACAGCAAGAAGGTCACTAATTCGAGTTCCTGCTGGGCCAGGTGGCATTTGTCTGTGGAGTTTGCATGTTCTCCCAGTGCTCGTTTGGGTTTCCAGTTTCCCCCACAGTCCAAAAAATAAAGGTATAGGTTGTATATAAGTGTGTGTGTGTGTGTGTGTGTGTGTATGAGTTATGCCAGTGCTACTGTAGGTTGCACCTGGAAGGGCATCAGCCACATTATTTTATAAAAAAATTTAATAAACTAAATAAATAAATATATATATATATATATATATATATATATATATATATATATATATATATATATATATATTTTTTTTTTTTTATAAATAATGTGGCTGATGCCCTTCCAGGTGCAACGTATGTATGTGTATGTATATATATATATATATATATATATATATATATATATATATATATATATATATATGTAATATATGCCAGCGTAATTGGCGGTTTATTCCGCTGTGGCAACCCCTGATAAATCAGTTCAATCTACTAATATCCAATGACTTGCGTTACATTCCACATACAGTATGTTTTGTGTTTGTTTTCTGTTTTGCTTTCTCTTCTGTTTTCTGTTGCGTACTCTGTCCTGCCCTATATGTGCGACCATTGGTCGAGAAGGCTGTCAATCATCATTATGACACCACTCAGCGCACCAATCGGGAGCGTTTAAAAGGTGTTCGCTTGCGCTGTCTGGGGGAGCTCCTGATTCTACACTTAACTCCTCACTTGTGTTGACCGGCCTGTTCATTTGTGTTTGTATTATTTTTGTTGTTGTTTAGTTGGTTTCTCGTTTACGTGCTTGATTGTTTAGATAAGTTTGTGCTGTTCAATTTACATGATTATTAGGAAGTCAAACAGTATTTATAAGAATTGGATTATCAGATAAGCTCTTGTTTTGCTGATTGCTGAAAGTGTGTACTTTAAGAGAACTCTAGTAATTCTGAACAGAATAGTATTTTTGTGTTAGTTAATTTATGGAGGAGTTGCCACACTTGTAATTATGTTTTGAATAGTTTAGTAGGTTAGTTAAGCATCGCATATGCTGAAGATTATGGTTTTGTTTCTGCAGTTTTCTTTGGTTAGGAAGTTTAGTGCGTTGTGGTTTAATTAGATTGTTTTGTCATATTTATTTCTTTGTTTTGGCAACACTCTTGTTTTTCGTTTGATTCGGTTATTGAAATTACACTCTGAATTCATACACTCACTGTTTAACATTATAGTTTAATAAATTATTTTTTTGTTTCACATACCCATATGTTGTGTTTTCTTTTTTTTTCACCCAGCACCAGCAGAAACTCGCTTAATGTTACGTCCCATTCAACATAACAACACATGTTATGTGTCAAACAAAAGTATTGGAGAGTGGAGAGATGACCACTATTAATAATAGCAAGGATTAATAACAAAACAGGAATGTACCTTGTCATATGTCTTTTTACAAAAAATAATTGAATCACATTGATATTTTGAGAGGATGGTTGATGACACATATCTTACATTACTGCACTGAATGTCTATAAGTGGTGAATTTAAAGTTACAGTCGATTCATGGGAGGAAAAAAGCAGTGAATCTCCCATATTGCCCACCCGAACACCAAATAAAAAAATCAACCATATTAAAATTAAGTGATTAATTTTTGATTTTTCTAATGCAGATCAACAAAAAAGACAGCCTACGTTGACTATTAAAAGCAGACTTGGCAACTTTGCAGGTATCAATTCTGTAAAAATGCAAGATCATTTCAGCATTGATACATATTGGATAATCAATACTTTTGACAACTTTACAAGCTGGAATTCATCATCTAGCCTTGCTTTGGTTCAAGGTGCTCTTTCCGCAGCCAAGGCTTGTCAGGGACATCATAACCCTGCTTTTTCCTGCGCACAGAGCCTGGTTATTAATTTTAAGCATGGAGTGGGGATGAGGAGAAGGGTACCACAACCGTCAACCTGCAGATTTTGACAAACAAGCCTGTTTCAACAGGAGCCCTTTTCTGATGTTCCTTGTGCTCGATTTCTATTCATTAGGCCGAGGCTGCTGGGAAGGGGCAATGACAGCTCTAAAACCCCCTCCGAGGAATCAGACACTGTCTCCGAAAGTCACAGTCTCACTCCGGGCTATTATTGGATTAGGTTGGGTTCTTTAGCGGCTCCGTTCCTGCCAGCTTGAGGGTCTTCAAGGGAGAGTGAAGCCAAAGTCACGGGCAAACCTAACAAGGGAACTTCTCTGAAGGAACACCATGATGTTGGCCACTCACACGGGCTCTCTTGGAGGAAAACAAACCGTAGCATTAAAATGACTCGTGTTAGAAGAGGGAAAAAGGGACATGTGACTTTTTTTGTGACCTTTAAATGAGTCTGTGGAATATGATAATATTGAAGGAAAGCTCTCGAGAAATGTTGACATGAAAATACTCAAAGAGACTTTAACAGAGTCATCTCCCACTGGACAATCTCTCTATGAAGAAAAATGAAAATGAAAAATGCATTATCGTTGTTGTTGTAGTTGTTGTTATTATTTTAGCTTTCATTCAGATTTGGCTGTAGTTATATTACCAGTTAAACTAGGTTATGGTTATAGAACCAAGTGTGCCATACTCCTACTTTTGAGTGATTCTCCCGGCCGTTAGATAGCCCCCTGGGGGCTGGCTGCAGTGCAAGTCCTAAAGCTTACCACCAATATGTTAATGAATAATACGTGTAAAAAATAAAAATTAAATAAAAAAATGAATTCCACTTGCACTAAAATGTCCAGAAAGATGGTTTTGGTCAATTAAGGCACTGGTTATCAAGCTGATATAGGTGGAGCTCTTCATTTTTGTAAATAGTGCGTTTTTAGCCAGTAATTTTATGCTAGAAAAATGGGGCGTGGAAGGAAGCTGGTTGGAAGCTTGATTCCACAGCTCCGCCTCTGGCTCCATCCGGTAGTCCTTTTACGCAGGCCCAGGCTCCAATTTTAGCAGTGTTTTGCGACAGTTTGTGCCCGTCTTGAGGGAAAAGGGAAAATTTTATTACTGTCATTGTTTCGAACCAAGCTGAAATTAGTTTTCTATATGAAATATACACTTTTTTATTCTTCTTTTAATGTTGATTTTATTTTCAATTTTTTATTTAATATTTATATTATATAAGAAACAACTTTTCAGCGGTTTAGTTTAAGTTGCTTCACTTTAGTTACTAGCACTTTAGTTAACAAAATCAAAATGAAAGTTTACATTATTTTAATATTTTAAGTTAAACTTTTTAAAATGTGTTAACCAAATTACTTTTATACTGAAATGTTTTTCATATTTTATTGTAATTTAAGTAATATTTATTTAAATTTTATGTTTTTATGATTTAAAGGCCTACAAAAATGTGGATGTTAATGGCCACATATGAATTATATGCAGTGGATACAGAAAATATTAAGACCCCCTTCATTTTTTCATTTTTTGTTATGCAGCAAAAAAATTTGTGTTCATTGTTTTCTCATTAATGTACACACAACACACCATATTGGCAGAAAAAACAAAGAATTATTGACATTGTTGCAGATTTATTAAAAAAGAAAAACTGAAATATCACATGGTCCGAGGAATTCAGACCCTTTGCTCAGTATTTAGTAAAAACACCCTTTTGATGTAATCCAGCCATGAGTCTTTTTGGGAAATGGGCAACAAGTTTTTCAGACCTGGATTTGGGGATCCTCTGCCTTTCCTCCTTGCAGATCCTCTCCAGTTCTGTCTGGTTGGAAGATAAATATTGGTGGACAGCCATTTTTAGGTCTCTCCAGAAATGCTTAATTGAGTTGTTGTTTTCTATCAACATAGGGTGCTGTGTGTACATTAATGAAAAAAAAGAACTTAAATGATCTTTGCTAATGACTGCAATATAACATGTGAACAAACATGTGAAAGCAGTAGTGAAACATTTAAGAAGGTCTGAATACTTATATATATATATATATATATATATATATATATATATATAATTATTTTTTTTCCTTTTCTTTTTGCGCAGGTGCAAACCTGGTCCTGCCACTCCTGCCTCAAATGGAAGTCCTGATTGACACGTCAAAAGCAGCAGGGCCTTTCCTTTTTTTTCTAGACAGCAAATTTAGGTGGCACAATGAGGTCTGTTGACATTGACGAGGCTAAATGTCAGCACTGCCAAACCCACACATCACCTCGGCAGCATCCGTCGCTCGCTCTTAAAAGCACCTGTCGTTCTGCTGTTGTGGCCCTGGAAAGCTTCAACAAAGCTCTTTTTGCCGTTTTCTTTGCAAGTGTCAGTAAACCTGAGCTGCAATTTCACTTAAAGAGGCCTTAAAGGTACTTACGGCTGCTGCCCAGCTCTTCAAACAGATACTGCACCTTCTGCCATTGAGTGGAGTTCTGGTTGGGTGGAGATGCCAAAGGAACAAACGTTCTGAAACACAAGTTCATATTTTTCAATCATAATGTCAACAATTATTAAGTAGTGTATACAAGTCTGAGGTTAGAAGATTTCTAACATTTTTTAAGTCTCTTATGGATTAGTTTGATCAAAATGACACACTGAAAAGAAGGATATCTGAAAAAATGGATGCAAAAAATGTATATGCGTTGAATTTAAAGAAATTATATTTAATAGCGTTCAACTTCATTTATTTGTTTAAATTCGGCCTAAATAAATTGTTTACAACCACTTAACTTATAATAAAAATAGTTGATCCAAAGAATTATCTTAGAATCTTTTTTTTTTTCAGTGCAGGAAAATGTTAATAGTGTATATTTTATAACAATTACAATAACAGTTTTGTACTGTGACATATAAAAAAAACATTACAGCATTTAATTGAAACTGAAATATTCTGTAATCATTTTAAAGCCTTTATCAGAAACTCAGTAGCCACACGCACACGCATGTGCACGCGCACACAGGCGCGCATGCGCACACACGCGCACACACACACATGCGCGCACACACACACACACACACAACACACAGACATAGACACACACACACACACACACACACACACACACGCACACACACGCACACACACACACACACACACACACACACAGACACACAGACACACACACACTGCAAATTACTGTATTATGTTAGTCTTTCACAAAACATGGCAACATAGACACAACTCCTCAATTAAACTGATCAAATTGTTAACAAAACTGTTTTGTAAACTGAAGTATCTGATAATTTTTTTTATGTACTTGGTCTGCTACATATCATTGCATTTATATCAGATATTATATTTAATATATAATTTAAATACCATTATTTGTAACAACAAGACTTATTATATGACATAATGTACAAGTATTTTTATGTGCTTTACATAATTTATTAATATAAAATCTTTTTTTTAGAAAATAAAACACTTTTTTTTGTTTTGTTTTTTGTTTTTTTTAGGAATTATGACATTAATGAATTACTATATTTTGATTAACATTCAGCTAATAAATATGAACTCCTCCATGATGGACAACCACCTTTAGGAAGACCAAATTGGCTGGCTATTTAATTTTAAGTGAGAACACATCACTTTAAAACACCAGAAGTATTCATTCATTCGTTCATTTTCCATCGGCTGAGTCTCTGATTTATCAGAGGTCGCCACGGCGAAATGAACTACCAACTATTCCAGCATATGCTTTACGGACACCCTTTCAGCTGCAACCTATTACTGGAAAACACCCATACACTCTCACATTCACACTCATTCATTAGGGCCAATTTAGTTCATCCAATTCACCTGTACCGCATGTCTTTGGACTGTGTGGGAAACCGGAGCACCCGGAAAAAACCCACACAAACACAATGAGAACATGCAAACTCCACACAGAAATGCCAACTGGCACAGCCGGAACTCAAACTAGCGGCCTTCTTGCTGTGAGGCGACAGTACTAACCACTGAGCCACAGTGTAAAAGTAAAAATAAATAATTAAATAAAAAAAAATACAAAAAATTTTTACAAAAAAAGCCATGCAGTGTACCTTTACTTAAAAATACATTTTCTGGGTATATTTAGGTGTAATAAACTGTATATATGTTTTTATATCTGCTGCTGGTGGTACAAATGTATGTTTACTGTGAACTACAGTGAAGAGGTTCATGTATACTGCCTATGTGACTTATCGCCACAAGCTTTTAAAGCAGTATGTTCACATTCAGAGCAAATATCTGCTACAGTAAGAAAAGCAGTCGTCTCCAATGAGAAGAACATCACTCACAGGCTGAGATTGCATAAGCAAATACCTCCGGCTACAGCTGGCTGAAAAAAAAATCCCATGTTTTAACCATAAGGGTTCAGTCTCTATCAATTCCATAAACTGTATGTGAATCAACTATACCTTAAAAGAAACTTTTTTTATCGGATCAAACATTTTTTTAGAGAAATACTGATGATAATAACACATCAAGTTAATTTACAAAACCTGCAAATTAAAAATGCTAAAGTGGTATATAATATACAACCTTGAAAAACAGAAAAAAGTACTTCTAAAGAAGTAGTTACTTAATATTTATTTTTTACTACTATTATTTTTCTATTTTAAATAACATATTTATTATTATTATTATTATTATTATTATTATTATTATTATTATTATTGTTATTGTTATTACTATTTTTATTAACATAGTTTCATATAATAATAATAATAATCACTATTTTTACTACTACTATTATTATTATTATTATTATTATTATTATTATTATTATTATTATCAACATTTCATATCTTATATTTATATCAATTATTAATATTATTATTATATTTTTTTCATTATTATCATAATTTCATACTATTTTATATTAATATCAATTATTATTAATAATAATACAATATAATTACCATTATTATTACTATTATTATTATTATTATTATTATTATTATTATTATTTCATAATATTTTACATTTATGTCAATAATTATCATCATCATCATCATCATCATCATCATCATCATCACTATTTTATATTGATATCGATTATTATTATTATTTATTATTATTATTATTATTATTATTATTATCACCATCATCATCATCATCATCATAAATTCATATTGTTTTTGATTTATAGCAATTATTATTAATAATAACAATAAAAAATAATAATTAATATTATTATTACTATTATTATTATCATAATTTCATAATATTTTATATTTATGTCCATTATTATTATTACTATTATTATTACTATTATTATTATTTTTAAAAATATTATTACCATCATCATAATTTCATATTTTATATTTATATCAATTATTATTAATAATATTTTTTAAAAATACGTACGACTATTATCATTTTATTATTATTATCATATTATATTTTATATTATTTTATATTTATATCAATTATTATTATTATTATTATTATTATTATTATTATTATTATTATTATTATTATTATTATTATTATTATTATTATTTCATATACTTTTATATTTATATCAATTATTATTATTATTATTATTATTATTATTATTATTATTATTATTGTTGTTGTTGTTGTTGTTGTTGTTGTTGCTGTTGTTGTTGTTGTTATTATTATAAAATTTATTATTATTATTAATATTATTATTGATAATAATCATTTTATTTATAGTTATTCCTATATAATAAACTTACATTTTATGTTTCTTTTATTGTTATTATGTGATTGTACTAAACTGTGGGACCCTCAAAAACAGGATGGTACATCTCAAGGGGTTATAAAATCATTTGAAATCCAAATGCTGTTTATATTATAAAAAATTCTAAATAAATAGATACAATATTAAATGTATAATGTATGTAATAATTCCCATTGTATAAGTTTATTCATCGGACTTCACTGCAGCTCAAATCACAACCTCAATATATGACATAATAATCATGAAGCACTAAAGGACACACATAATACCTACTGTTAACATCCACTCAGCAGCATCAAAATATAAAAGGATTGCATTCAAATTAGCAATAGATGCAAATGATGGCAAAATAGGGTCACTTTCTTTTTAAATGCAGCCACATCATTCAGCATAATCTGAGGGAGTTCAATTGACGTGTCACATCAGAAAAGCTGCGTCGTGCATGAAAATGTCATCTTTTAAGGGTGTCAGTAAATTATGTTGTAAAACGTACACGCAGCAGGACGCAGATTCATAAATCCACCAAGGACTCTTTGAGGGTTTATGCAAAGGTACACAGGCTCAAACACTTAATACACATCTGACCTCTGTACCTGCTTTCCCTGACATTTGTCGTCACCAATTAAGCACCAAAACACCATCAGAAGCAAGTTTTAATTAAATAGTTGCCCAAAAACAAAAAAAGAAGATAATTGTCTCATTTACTTATTTCATACTCATAAGCTATGTGGAATAGGCTATTGTTTGCACACTTCAATTATCATTAATTATCATTGGTAGTTACCGTATGAACTTATAAATAAAGTTTTGAAAATAAAATATAAATATAAATCAAACAAGTACTTGAATATAATTTTGATTGTATCTGTAACCCTCCCATTTTTCCCAGGATTCTCCCGTAGTTTACAATTCTATCCCGCTATCATCCCGTAAAGGTATTTTCCCGTATTTCTTCCATTTTTTAATCTTTCTATGAAGGGTGGCAATAAACATCAAAAAGCTGACTGTAGGAGCCATACATTGTATATTGGCCACAAGGTGTTAGTAAGAGAGTATATAACTGTGGCTTCACTGCATGGAGGAAGAGAGTGTTGGTAGGAAGCACACAGTTTTTGACTGTACCGTAGCGCAATTCAAATCAACATATAACTTAAGTTAACAGAGAAGTGCATATAGATTAAGGAAAAGTGATGAAGTAATTGTGTTGATTAGAAAATAAAGACGTTTTTATTTACATCTATTTTGCCTGCGGACTCTGACTTTACGCGTTAAAAACTTGCTCACTCTACCAACAATAACGGCAGTTGGAAAGTCGCTACACCGATCCTCCCCATGCACAATCCATAACACTGAACCACCGTGGGACGCCTCTTGCACATAAATGTGAATCTGTTCTGTGCTTTCATTTAATTTAGGCATGAAAATACTTTGAAATAAATTTAAAGATGGTGGGATTCCCCTTGTCGCTGGATCTGTACAACGTATGACCTTCATGGCCAATCACAGTAATTTCTGGTGAGCATGTGAACACAATGGAAAATGAGTGCTTTTTAAGAACATGTTCAACAGTGCTCAAATGTCAGCGGGAAATGGACGTTTTTAAAATTTCAGTATCCGATTGGTACCGAATTTCAGTATCGTGACAACACTAAACCTCATTGATTGATAACTCAAAAAAAACAACAACAACAAAACAACACAGTTACACCAACAAAGTGACATTTTACCAGAAGCTTTCCAACAAGCATAGTCCAAGAATGAAAATTCTGATATGATTTACTTGTGTTAGATTTTTTTTTTCCGTTAAACACAAAAGCAAACATATTAACGAATGTTGGTAACTACTGATAAAAATATGAGAAACACTATGGGAGTCCAACATTCTTTGATATATAACTTTGCTTGTGTTGTTCAACATAAATAAATAAATAAATAAATAAATAAATAAATAAATAAATAAATAAATAAATAATCTAATTAATTAAAATAAAATAAATAATTAAATTGTTAAATAAAAACGTAAAAAAATCATTTGTTAAATTAAATAAATAAAAATAAAATTACTAATTAAATTAAAATAAATAATTTAATTACATAAAATTTAATAAATAAAAATAAAATAAACAATATGTGTAATAAAAAAATAAATAAAATTAAATAAATAAAAATTAAATAAATAATAAAAAAATATTAAATCAATAAACAATTTAATTAATTAATAATTAAAATAAATTTTAATAAAATAAATAATTAAATTACATTAAATAAATAGAAATAAAATAATTAAATTAATTAATTAATAAATAAATAAGAAAAAAAAATAAAATGAAAAAATAATAATAAAAAATAATTAATTAAAGTATATTAAATAAAAAAAATAATTAATTAATTAATAAATTAATATTATTATTATTTTTTAAATAAATAAAAAATATTTAAAACAAGATAAGGGTGAACTGTCCCTTAATTCATTTCTTTAAATTTGTACATCAAATCACATGCATATGGTCAACTGCAGGCTAACACACCAAAAGCATCTGTTTAGTGAGTATCTGTGTCAAATGTACTCTTGAGCCCTCTTCACAAACCTAAAATGACAAATGACAAACTCTACGGTCTCATGGACTTGACAGGGCCCACGAGTAAAGGCCATGTGACTGCGGGTCCACATGATGGCATCCATTTGGGACAGAACCCATGTGTCTTAGACCTCTGATAGAGTGCACTTATACCTCTCAAGACATTTCCACCAGTACGAGCAATTGAATGGGACTACAGAGAGTGGAAAGGGTCAGCTCTTCATTTATAAGACCCATCTTTAGCGCAGACCAATCAAAACAGGCAAACAAAAAGAAGTCACTCTCCAGATGAACAATCACAAACGCAGGGACTCCGAAAAAAAAAAAGATGGAAAAAGCCATCATGTCCTCCCACATCAGGAACTCTGAGACACAATACTCCTGGTAAAACACTGCACTGGTTCAAAAGGTAAAATGAACACCAAATTGCTTCTGTCCGAAGTGCCATCCCCACTTTCAAATTCGCTCCGCCGCGTGTCCCTCTTCCCATTCCGCGATCAAAGTAACCCATCCCACTGGGTCTATACGACATGAAGGTGTGATGAAGGTATCCTGCCCCACAGGAACACTATTTAATGGTTGAGAGCACATTAAATTATATGACCTGGTGAGCAGACGTGTTATTCTTGCAGTGGAAAAGAAAATCCATTATGTTTATGCTGTACGAGCACTGCTGAGAACAAAAAGTATCAACTTGAGGTTAAACGGGACAAAACCACAGCATGTATCTGTACACATTTAGACTGCACGTTGGGTTTTTAGTTCAGTTAACAATTGGATAAGAAATTGCTACATGGTTTGACAAAAAAAACTAAATGTTCAAGGTCTTGACAGTTGTCAGGTTTAGAGATGCCAGATAATTTGACTTTGCCTTCAGGCTTTATATTTTAAGCATGGAATTTGGTTCATTGCTGTGCAAAAGCATGATACTTTAAATAAGAGATGCCCAAAGTAGGGCCCGCGGGCCAAAGTCGACCCACTGTAACCTTTGATTTGGCCCACCATCCCAACTGAGAGGAGTGTGAGAATAATGAAAAGGATTGGGGCGAATGCCTTTAAAACAGAGATCATCACATCTAATTTGACGTAACCTTTTTTGTTAGTATTATCCCTGAGCAAAAAAAAAAACTAACTGAATTAAATGTTTGAATACAATGTTGTCAAAATGTAAATACTGTCACTCAACAGATAGAGGACTATGCAGAAGCAAATCAAGGCAAAAACTAATGCAATCTGTTATAAATGAGATTTTTACTGTAGTAAGCTCATTGTAAAATATAAAAAATACTGTATTAGTTAGTATACAGCAATGTTTTATAGTCATTTTCAAATATTATTAAATAAATTCGGCATTCCACCATGGCAACTACATTTACCTTCGATCCCCCAGCCTCAATTAAGTTTGGCTTTTGGCCCTTCATAAAAAAAAGTTTAGGTACCCCTGCTTTAAATATATTCTAGCAATAGGATACTGGTTCGGGCCTCGGCAGGGTCAGTTGGCGTTTCTGTGTGGAGTTTGCATGTTCTCCCTGCATTCGCGTGGGTTTCCTCTGGGTGCTTTGGGTTCCCTCACAGTTCAAAGACATGGGTTACAGGTAAATTTTGTAAGCTAAATTGTCCATAGTGTATGTGTGTGAATGAGTGGGATTGGATGTTTCCCAGTGATGGGTTGCGGCTGGAAGGGCATCCGCTGCGTAAAAACATGCTGGATAAGTTGGCGGTTCATTCCGCTGTGATCATCCCAGATCAATAAAGGGACTAAGCCGAAAATTAAATAAATAAATGAATGAATGAATGAGATATACTTTCTACTTTTTTTCCCTGCCAATTTTGTGTTTTTCTCCAGCATTGCTAAGTCAGCAGTTTTTTTAGCAATATTGGGATACTTCTAACCACTTTTTGAAGGTTATATTACATTCATTACATTTATATGGTTACACTGAAATACTTTATTCTAGCAAATTTTATAGCAATAAGAAAATTTGTACTAGGATGATGAAATATTTTAAATTTTTAGATCTTTTGGATGCTTGGATCTCTTGCCTGTTTGTATTAACATCAAAACAAAACAATACCAAATATGTTCTGAACCAGACGCGGTAAAACGTGAACGAGCCTTTCCCTTTAAATGCTAGCAGAGTGCGGGTGTGTGTGGGACTGAACATAACCGAAGATGAGTGAACATTGATGAGTAAACCTGCATCCGTCGGCCATTTGTTTAAGGAAGAATCAAAAAAGAATATTCATGTAGGGGACTTTGACAGAGCTTGACAAGAACTTTATCAGTACACAGTTCATGGATCAGTTTCTTCCTCCATTTCACAAGTATCAGTAAGCATGATTAAAATGGTTGCCTCCTTGTTTTCTCTAGCTTGCAAAATATGTATTTAATTGTGTCTTGATACTTGTAATCGCTACACACGGCTTGTAGTATATCTGTTAATTCTTTATATTCTCATATTGCGTCTAAAATCACGTTGAAAATGTAGTGCGTGCCAATTTGTTTACTGATTTAAATGCGTTTGTGAGCTCGCAATCCTTTGCCATTTGTCGTTGCTATGGCTACCATCAGCTGTTTCTACATACATGCAGTGGTCAAGTTTTAAAATGGTTCAGCTTTTGCCACAGTGTGGATTAATACTGAATGTGTGTCATGGTTAAGAAGAGAGCAATATGCTGGTGTTAAACTGCAGTGCTCACACATATACTCTACACTCTGAATACTTCAACACTGTTAATAAGCCGTGGTGGGTGTTTCTCTCAGTCTCGTGCTGAACGAAGTCGACCAATCGCAATAGACTGGGTTAATGGACCAATCAACGTAGATTAGCATTGCACTAAGGAGGGGCCTGGGAACAAATGAATCGCTGAACAGATAATATTGGAGTAGTTGGGATAATTAGGTTAAAATAAATGCATATTATAAGACAATGAAAGTGTTTTTTGACCTTTCATGCACATCAGCCTGTTGTTGGAGACCCCCCAAAACAAAAATATGACCTTTTATAATGCATAATAGGGGGTCTTTAAAAATGTTTTCTATTTTAAAATCTTGACGCAGTCATTACTCAAGTTTGCAGTGTCATGTGATCCTTCCAAAATCATTCTACAGTCTTTGTGTCCTAACCAGCCTAGAAATCTCATATTATCAGTATTGATGCGCTCGCCATGCAGACATCACTGTTAAACTAATAATGGCTGTATGGATTTTGAGACTGTTCAGCAATTTCTTCATACAAAACCTGCAAATACTTGTCATTATGCGTTTTGTCCACCAAAATGCTTCACATCCACCGCATTCTCACACCTGCTGCACCCAGATGGAGGTTCAAGATGAGGACTGAATGATATAATAAAACTCACATCGACCTCTCCACACACACACACACACACACACACACACACACACACACACACACACACACAGAATAGTATAATCCCACAAAGCACACTTACCCAATCAAAAGCAGCGCGGAACACACAATCACAAATCCTATTGTGTACTTCAGTGCATTTTTCACTTGCTGTAATGAGAGAATAAAAAAAAAAAAACAGGTTTATCAGACTGTATTCATCAAGTCATCAATTCGTGATAAATTATGCTTCATGTGGAGAGGGGCTTTGGGCTGGAGTATAATTACATATTTGAAGCACTTAACAGTCAGGAACACAGTGTACCAAGTTGATTCTCTGATGGAGGCATTGTGGCTTCGTTTCAAAGCCTACTGAGCTAATGCAGTGACCTAACAAAACCTTTAAAGTAGGGATGCATGGAAATAAAAATTCTGGCCCAAAAATGATACCGAAAATTCTGGATGAAACCAAAACTGAAATTTTCTTTGTGATAATTATGTGTTATTTTATTAAATAATGCAAAGTAATTTGTAAGACTTTTAAAATTGAAATCAATAATTAAATGTATACTGATTTAAAACAAATACACACACAAACCAGTAAAATAACCACATTTTTTTGCTGTAAAATTGTAACACTACTACATAGAAATGCCCTGTCTTTGTGTTATTTAAGTGGACTTTGAATTTCTAGTGAGCCTGTGCAGAATAGATAAGCATACATGCACATGAGCAGAGTTTTGAGTTTTGTTGGTCTTTTGTTGGTGCAGCAACAAACTGGACTTGTGTGGTGCAAGCTATTAAAATGAATGAGTTTCATAGCGCAGCACTTCCCATGTCCAGTGTGAAAGCCGCTTCTCAGCCTTTTTTACTGCTCTTATCGGCTGAGAATTTGGTGCATCTCTACTTAAAAGTGACTGTTGTGTGTAAGTGTCATTTTTCTTGCATAGATGAAAAAAAACATGGCATTATTGGGCAAAAATTGAATGCATCCCTATTTAAAAGCGACTGATTTGTACCATTCTACATAGAATTTACGAAGAACAGTCATTATATAAAACCTAAGAGAGTCTCTAATAACAGCTGAGGCATAGCATAGCTTTTTTCAGCTCATATTTTCACCCATTTTTCTTCCTCATTTGGAAAAAGGAAAAAATGTTATCGGGCAAAATTGTGGTGCCAATCCCTACATAAAATTGCCTGATTTGGAACATTCTACATTTAAGATATAAAGAGCAGAGTTTAATAGTTTGGCTTTAGTTTGCTGATACTCTAATGTATGTAATTACTAATGTAAAATATGCTAAACTAAAAGTAGAATATATGATGCACAAAAAGATCTAGTAAACCAGAGAACGCTTAATATATAATTGGGATGATACAGAAATAATGGCTGATACAGAATACTCCATAACCGATATGCAGATATTATATTATATTATATTATATTATATTATATTATATTATATTATATTATATTATATTATATTATATTATATTATATTATATTATATTATACACTCATTGGCCACTTGATTCGGTACACCTTACTAGTACCGGTTTTGACCCCTTTTGGATTCGGAACTGCCTTAATCCTTTGTGGCATAGATTCAACAAGGTCCTGGAAATATTTCTCAACACAGTTGCTGGAGATTTGTTGGTTGCACATCCATGATGAAAATCTCCTGTTCCACCACATCCCAAAGGTGCTCTATTGGAATGAAATCTGGAGACTGTGAAGGCCATTTGAATACAGTGAACTCATTGTCATGTTCAAGAAACCAGTCTACGATGATTCACGCTTTATGACATGGTTTATGACATGGTTATCCTGCTGGAAGTAGCCATCAGAAGATGGGTACACTGTAGTTATAAAGGGATGGACATGGTCAGCAACAATACTCAGGTAGGCTGCGGATGCTCAATTGGTACTAATGTGCCCAAAGTATGCCAAGAAAATATCCCCCACACCATTACACCACCATCACCAGCCTGAACCATTGATACAAGGCAGTATGGGTCTGTGCTTTCATGTTGTTGACACCAAATTCTGACTTTGCCATCCAAATGTCGCAAAAGAAATCAGGACTCATCAGACCAGGCAACGTTTTTCCAATATTCTATGTCCAATTCTGGTGAGCCTGTGCGAAATGTAGCCTCAGGTTTTAGGTCTTAGCTAACAGTAGTGGCACCCGGTGTGGTCTTCTGCTGCTGTAGCCCATCCGACTCAAGGTTCTACCTGTTGTGGTTTAGAGATGCTCTTCTGCACACCTCGGTTTTGGTTATTTGAGTTACTTTTTCTTTTCAATCAGCTCCAGTCTGGCCATTCTCCTCTGACCTCTGGCATCAACAAGGCATTTGCACCACAGAACAGCAAGCTCACTGGATATTTTCTCTCTTTTGTATCATTCTCTGTAAACCCTGGAGATGGTTATGCATGAAAATCCTAGTAGATTAGCAGTTTCTGAAATACTCAGACCAGCCCATGTGGCATCAACAACCATGCCACGGTCAAAGTCACTTAAATCATTCTTCTTCCCCATTCTGATGCTCAGTTTGAACTGCAGCAGATTGTCTTGACCATGTCTACATGCCTAAATGCGTTGAGTTGCTGCCAGGTGATTGGCTGATTTGGAAATTTGCGTTAACGAGCAGTTGGAAAGGTGTACCTAATGAAGTTGCCGGTGAGTGTATATCATAAGGTGATATAGCATTAACATAGCATTCTCTTGGTTTACCCATCATATTACATGGATCTTCGAAACAAAAGTCTGTGACAATGCATTATAGGATTGCATTATCCATAAAGAATTTATGCAAAGCACCATAATCATCCAGCCTACCTTTCAGGACAACACCAAAGACAAAAAAGCTGCCTACGTAGGATGCTCGATAGTTTTTGGAACGAAGCCACTTCAGACTGTTTCAAAAGAAGGAGGAGGAGTGTAAAGTTTCGAAAGAGATCCAAACTTCCAGAAGACGGAAGAGGAAGCTGATCAACATGTAATGTTGCACATCGCTGTGTGACGTCTTTAGAGAATAATATCTGACATTTGAAATGAGCCGCATTATAGCGCGTAGGGTGTGTTTTTGATCAGTTTATCACCTCGCTGCAGTCAAAACGTCTTGCAGATGGAGTCTGGGTGAACTCGCCTGGGTTGTTATAAATGAACTGCCATAACTGTAATCAGGCAAATATCACTTAGCAATACCTCAAGGGCATTTTCTGTTGATATGATTAATGCTAACTTTTTCAACGGCAGACAGCGCGCCTTGCTTTACATACTAGTACAGCACACACTATTTATTGACTACAAATAGCTTAACAAGACTCTAGTTTTTCATTCTGCGAGTGAATTATCTGCGTGAGGCTGATCTTTTTTAGAGCGCACAGATGTAGGAGATGGAAAGGAAGGAGTGTCAGGTTTACCAAGCACTTGTTGTTGTTGTCTTCATCTTTCTCCTCGTAGTAGAAATAGACAAAGGGGATCCAGAGGAAGACGCAGAACAGAATGATGGAGTACAGAGCTGTGGAAGAGAAAAGATGGAGTTAGACACATGGAGTTCATACCCATTAAATGCAGTGGATTAAAACGAGCTGTTTAGATGTCACAGGGTCACTGATGTGGCACTCGTTTTTTGTGTGTCCAGTTAAATGATTATATTAAAATTGCAATTTGTAGAAATGATGACCCATGCCTCTTTTATGATGACATTTTTCTTTGCCATCATAATGTGGTGTCAAAAAGTAAAAAAATGTCAAGGTTGCATGAGATTAAAAAGGTCTAATGAATAGGCTTGAATAGCTTTAAACTTTTATTATTACAGTTTTTAAAAGAATAATAAATGACCAATGCAATTAGTTTTATGTTTCTCGAATTCATTTCCAATATTTTACTATTTTCTTAACAGAATTTTCTGTATTTAATAATTTATGTATTTATGACTGTTTTTATTTATTTGAATGCTTCTGTTGTTTTTGTAATTAATTAATTAATTATTTTGTTCACATACAAAAATCATAAGACCATAGAATAAGTAGTTATATGAAATGGTACGGATATTTTTTCTAAAAAATTTTTAAAAAAATAGTTATTGCTAAAATTGTTTTGTTTGGTTTTTAAAAACCAACATAACGTCAGGCATTTATTAATACATTTTCTATGGAAGGCTTTATTTTTCTTTTTACAGTAAGGCAAGTGTACAGAATCACTGATTAAAAAATAAAAAAATTTAAAAATAAATAACCTCTTTGTGAATAAATAAGGTGTGTCAAAAAGCCAAAACTTTCAAGGTTGCATAAGATTGAAAAGATCTGATTGATAAGCTGAAATAGCTTTAAACCGTTTATTATTTCAGTTTTTAAAAGAATAATTCAGACCCATGCAATCAGTTTTATGTTTGTTGTCGAATTCATTTTCCATATTTGACTTTTTTCTATATAGATTTTTCTGTATTTCATCATTTAAGTATTTATAAATGTGTTTTTATAAAAGTGTTTTTTTCTTCTTTTGTTTTTATTATCTAAAAAATTTATTATTTTTTCATTTACAAAAATCATAGGATCAGTGAGTAAGTAGTTATCAGAAATAGTACAGATATTTTGTTTCTGTACTTAGTTTTAAAGAAACCAACATTACATCAGACATTTAATAATAACAATTTCTATTCTATTTGAATGAATGAATAATCATAGGTTTTATTTTTTTATTTACAATATTTCAAAGGTACAGAAGCACTAAATAAATAAATAAATAAATAAATAAATAAATAAATAAATAAAAAATAAAAAAATATAAAAAAAATAAAATAAAAACTTGGTAGTTATGTGAAAAAAGAAAGAAATGTTATTTGTTATTTTCTCTTTGTTACTTCTAGTTATTTCTTGTTATTTTGACATAAGTTGGTACTTTGAGATATTAACTCATTATTTTTACCTAACTCATTAAGTCGTTAACTTCAACAAAAATAATTTCAACAATAACTTGCTATTTCGCGATATTAACAAGTAATTTCAACATAACTCATTATTTCAATATATTAAGTCATAATTTAAAGATATTAACATAATATAATAACTTGTTTTGAGACATTGAGACAAAAAAAGATATCGTCAGTTCATTAAATATAATTTAGATTATATTATATAAGTTCTATCAAAGGCTTCAATACATATCTAAATCAATGTTTTGTACAGTACACATTAGTACAAGCAAAAATTAACTAAACATATAGCTCAAAATAATAATACCCACCTTCTCCATGTTAACGAATGTTAAATTAATTACACTTGCATTAAAACTTCGTTTTGGTCAATTAAGGCACTTGTTATAATGCTGATAGAGGTTCAGGTGTTCGATTTTGTGAAAAATATGTTTCTAGCCAGTAATTTCATATTATAAAAACATGAAAACTAAAAACTGCCATTATAATTGACAGTTGTGATTGACATAAGGAGATTGTTGTTTGATTCGAGAGCAGAATCAATGTTTGATTTTGATGTTATTTTACCTTGCCTAAAAGGAATACAAATCAACAGTAAAATCAGTGTCACTTTCTAGACTCCTAGAAACCAATAAAACTCCCACATGATGAGCGGTAAGCCCAAAAGCGCAGACAAGCTGAAATAATCAAATTATAGGAGCAAAGATCACTGATATTGCAGGAGTTTATGTAACAGACTGTGACAGGCAGAGAAAGAGATTTTGTTGATTCCTCTCTTTCCCTGTCATGCAGTGAATTCAAATCGTCGGCTTGGCCTATTTCAGCCTTGAAGTGGATCACACACACTTTTGTGACCCTGTAAATTGTCGTCTTCGCTTCTAATGTAGGTTACTCAGTTGATATACAAGCGATATGAAAAAAACAATTGGTCTTTTGTTCGGAAAACGTATCACCTGCAGATCTGTTTATATACATGATTGAAGTAGATTAAAAAAGCTGTACCTGGAAACACACACACACACACACACACACACAAATCTGGAATACAACAGACGTAACCATATCACACAATGTCTTTTCTCCAAATAGAAACAACTTTAAGATATTAACCTGTTACTTTGATACTCATTAAGACATTAACTCAATAGTTCAACAATAACTTACTATATCGAGATATTAACTAGTATATAGTGTATATTAACTATTCTGATCATTATTTTAATATTATTAAGCCATTATTTGAATATATTAACTCACTATATTATGACTGTATTACCATAAATACTATGTATTATCAAGTCAGAATTTCAAGACTCTATTTCAATATAATAACTCGTTATTTTGAGATATTAAGTCGTTATTGCGACAAAAAAAAAAAAATAAAAATTGATCCTTTTACATCAGTTCTATCAATGGGCTTCATTAAATATCTGAATCAACTTTTTTTGTGTAGTACAAATTGACACAAGTATAAATGAACTATGATATAGCACTCAACTTAAAATTCCCGCCTTCTCCATGTTAACAAATGGGACTTGAGTCCAAATCAAAAAATTATTTACACTTGCATTAAAATTTCCCGAAAGATGGTTTTGGTCGATTAAGGCACTTTTTATCACACTAATATAGCTTCAGGTGTTCATTTTTGTGACAAATATTTTATTAGCCAGTAATTTGATGCTATATAAATGGGCCATTATGACTGATGTAAGTAGATTGTTGTTGATTTTGAGAGCAAAATCAATATTCGATTACTAAATGGAAAAAGCATCAACAATAAAATAAGTGTCCTTACACTTTCTAGACTACTAGAAACCAATAAAACTTCCACATGAACTTTAACATGTAAAGTTGATTAGTGTACAGATATATGAAATAATCATTTTTCATTTAATTATTTCAATTATTTAATTGATATATGGGAGTAAGTTAAGGTAATCAACTTTTTGTGTAGTACACATTGACACAAGCATAAACGAACTAAAGATATAGCACTCAACTCATAAACCCCGGCCTCTCCATGTTAACAATCGGGACTTTAGAAATGGTCGTGCCCAACTGAGCCTGGTTTCTCTCAAGGTTTTTTAATTCTTCACTTTCGCCAATAGGTGAAGTTTTTTCCTCGCCGCAGTAGCCACTGGCTTGCATCGTCCGGGACCCATGGAGTTGCGCATCGATGAATTTGCTCTTCAGTGTTTGAACTCTCAGCAGTGAAAACAAACCACACTGAACTGAACTAAACTGCAACACTGAAAACTGAACTGACACTATTTCAATTTACTATGTGAAGCTGCTTTGACACAATCTACATTGTAAAAGCGCTATAACAATAAAGATGAATTAAACTGAATTGAACTCGAGTCCAAATAAAACAATGAATTACACTTGCAATAAAATTCCCTAAACATGGTTTTGGTCAGTTAAGGCATTCGTTATCACACTGATATAAGTTCAGGTGTTAATTTTTGTGACAAGTATGTTTTCAGCCAGTAATTTGAAGCAATAAATATAAACCATTATGACTGATGTAAGTAGATTGTTGTTCAATCAATTGTTGTTCAATATTTGATTATTAAATCGAATACGCATCAACAGTAAAATCAGTTTCTTTACATTTTCTAGACTCCTAGAAACCAAAAAAAAACTTCCACAAAAACGTTAACATGTAGAGTTGATTAGAGTAGGAATATTTGAAACAATAATTTTTTTTTATCATTTAATCGATATATGGAAGTAAGTTAAGGTAATCAACTTTTTGTGTAGTTTACATTGACACAAGCATAAATTATGCCTTCTCCATGTTAACGAGTGGGCCTGAAGTGATACAGACACAGACCTGAAGTGATATCTCCAACACTGAAATGACACCAGAATGGCTCACAACGACCTTCCAAGAGTGGCAAAAAAATGATCCATCATTCTGTCCACGGTCACGCAGGACAAAAAGCTCATTTCCCTCCCGAACATGTAAACATGCTCCGCACACATCAGTCAAACGTGCACATGTGTGTGTTCGTTTGACAAATGCCTTGATTTCAAAAGATAAACATGTGAGAAAGATGGCTGAGTGCTTTTCTGTCGAGCAAAAACACACATTTATTTTTTTTTAACAGCAGGAGATGAGAGAGAAAAAAAAACACTGAGCAGCCACAACATTTCAAAATAAAAAAACATAATGGGATGAAAATGGTTATTGTTATTGTTTCATGAGCACTACGGCTGATTTTGCCAGCTGTTCTTGTGCTTTTCAAACCTTAATTTTTGGATTGCTGCACTTTTTCCAGATTACTGTGAGGGATTCGGTCCATGACTTCAGTGGATCAGAGCTGCTCATCAACTGATAAACTCTCACGCTCTCACTGCACTTTACCTTGCGTCATCCAAACATTGATTCATTGTCAACCATTGTTATACTCTTTAACAGTGATTAAAGCATTTCTCATTGTTTGGAGCATCTGTATAAAGCTTTTAAAGGGTTCAAACTCTTTCGTACCATGATAGAAACACCAGACTTTGTGTTCTCATGGTAAAACGCATGCATCAAACTCTAGAGCAATCCAAGGCACCCGGAATCAATCTGCTGC